ACTGCATACTCAAAATTTGGTACAAAAAAATTTATTACGAAAAAGAAAAAAAAAAGCTCTATTCTGGGTGTATATATTTACAGATAGGTAAAAGTTTCAATATGTTTGGAAAGCACCACTTCCCTTTTCCAGTAGCCCCAAAATCTCTATACCAATTTGTGTTTTTCAGTTTTGAAATTGGTTTTTGTTGTTTTTATTCATCTTATGCTTCAGAGATATACGGTATGAAGAATTCGATATGCATGGGTGATGCCAAGCTCCCTTAATATATCCAAAGTCTGCAGTAGGTGTCCAAAATTAAAAAAAATCGGTACAGCCGTTCGCGAGATCACCTCTTATAAACAGAAGGAGCTTGTCTTTATATAATTAGTGTAGGTAACACAGGGCAACACCGATTTTGATGCGGCAAATGTTGAAGCTGGTTTTAATAGGTTTTTTTTGCTGATTAAGAATGCGTAAGTGTAATGTTTCCATCAGCTCCAGATTTTGAGAAAAATGTGGTGAAAGTGTAAAAAAATCGTGTTTTTTGCAATATTTGAGAAGCTCTAGCAATGAAACAAAAGGTGATAGAACCTTCCACTTAGGCTTAAATTAAGGCTTGGACTTCTGGCTTCAATCCCTGAAAATACCATTCCTAACCCGTGGCCCTAAGGCTACCTATAGTCATTTATTTATCAGCTAACACTGATTTTTACACCATTTTTGACGATAAAAAGTAAATGAGTATAGGTGACCATTAGTGCAAGGTGCAGGAATAGTACTTTCAGGCATGGTAGTCTGTAGTTCTAGCTTTAATTTAAGCCTACGGGTTCTATCACCTTTTGCTTAATTGCGGTAGGAACTCAAACTTACCGAAATCAGTTATTTCTGCTCAACAAATGACTATAAGGGCTGGTTTCTCCAACTCAACTTAGTTAAGCCAATTTTCTCGACTCAGTCAAGAATAAGCTGTGTAAAACGTAGGCTAACTTTTGACTTAAGTCCAAAAGTGGCTAAACTAAGTTAAGTTGAGTTGGAGAAACCAGCCCTAAGTGACCATCAAGCAAAGGTGCGGGAACTTGCTTTAATCAAAGCCTAAGTGGAAGGTTCTACCACCCTTTGTTTCTTTGCTAGAGCTTCTCAAATATTGCAAAAACTTGATTTTTTGACAATTTGACCTCGTTTTTTCTTAAAATCTGGAGCTGATGGTAACTTTTTGCTTACGGACTCGTAATCAGCACAAAAAAATCTGTCAAAAATAGCGTTAACATTTGCTGCATCAAATTTTTTTCCTTTTTTGTTGGCCTGTGTAATAAGTATTGTTAAATAGCCAATACCCGCATGTTTGCGGCGCCTTCAAACACCTTTCGAACTGTAAAACAATGACTCGATTCGATTGAAGATTTTTTGGAATTGATCGGTTCTGGTCCAGCTATCAGAAAAAATATCATATATGTTAACCAAGCCAATAAGCTACCTACGTGGTAAATTGCAAGCAAATCGGACCATTAATAAGACTGTTTCGAATAGTTCGGTCTCTGACCCACTTAACGGAAAAAATGGATCCTATATGCTAATCTAGGCAAAAGGCTACCAACGAACCAACTGCATTTTTTTAAGCATAGCTCGACCCCTGCGCCAACTATCGGAAAAATTAAAAATTTGTGCACTCCTTCTTCTAAACACGTTTCCAAAAAAGCAGCACCCATTTGAATCAGTTATGAAACATAGGAGAAAATTGTTCCCAATTGATTCAGGCTCCCAATGAATTTCACAATTATCCGAAATTTTCCAAGCTTTCGTCGAAAAAAATTCAAATTTTTCGCGATCTTCCGGATTTTTCCGAGTTTTCCACTTAGAATTCTCTATTTTTCCATTCGAATGCCATTCCGAAGGAATTGCACACAAAATTCCATACAAAAAAATCAATTTTCGATTTTTCCAATTTTCCGACTTTCCCGGAGGGATTTCCCAAAATTTTCTTTCGTAAAAACCTTCTCCTGGCAATTACGAACAACTAAAAAAATTTAAGCCAAATCGGTCCAACCGTTCTCAATTGATGAATTACTATACATTTTTCACACCATTTTTATATATATAGATATACATATATATACAAGAATTGTTTGTTTAATGTAATAAGATTAACTGCATTTAAATGCAAAATTTCAAACTTTTTACTCAACAGTTTTAGAAAATTTTTAGGTACACAGTTTTATAGCCCATTAAAATAAAGTGCAATAAAATGCAAGTTTCAAGCAGTTACAAAATACCGTTGATATTTGGGGATTTTTTAAACGATACTGGGCATTTTCATGGAAGAAAATGCGTGATACCGCCACCAAAAAAAAAATATAAAAAATCAACGTTACTTTTAGTCATTTGAAACTTGCACTTTATCCTTCTGTAATTTAATGGGCTATACTTAGAACATTGCGTACCTAGTATTTTCCTAAAAATTCTGAGTAAAAAGATTAAAAACAGGTTGAAACAAAAAAGTTTCAAAACACCCCAAGCAATCAATATACTCAGACACTATGGGCCAAATATAGTTTTAGATTTTTTTTATTAGAACTTTGTAATTTCAAAGATATCATAAATTCTAAAAATTATTTAAAAAATCAGTGCAATGTAGAATAAAAAAAGCGTTGTAAAATGGGCACCAAATGAAAGAGAGAATTCTGTAGGATTTAAAAAAAATTAAAATTTTATGGTTTCACATGGACGAATTGGTATTGAAAATGTCCTCTTAATCAACTTTATTTTTTTAAGCTAATAAAGGTAGATGAACTATATTCTAGGACGTTGTCGAGTTTATATCTATTAGTCCTTAACATATAATTTTTTCAAAATAAATATTGCAAAATTTCAAGGATATTAAACAACAACAACAATTTTTGTTTAGCTAACTTCGATCCTGTACAAAAAATGTCTATATACCAAATTATGTAGGACTAATACTTTCGAAGATTATTAAAATTTTAGTAAAAAAATGTATTAATTACTTTATTTATCAATTTTTATTTTTTGGGCATATTGAACTTTGATCGACTTGGGCGAGCCTAGGATATTGACCAAAAATTTTCAAATTTCACACAGATTTTTTTAAAGCATAAGGAATCATATTTTTGCTATTACCAATCAAAATTCTAAAAAAGTGGATTTTCGGCCCACGCTATTACGCACCTAAAAATGTAATCTGTTCTTTCTCTACAGAATTTTCTCTTTAATTTGATACCCATACTGTTTTCCTGTTGTACTTACATTGCACTAAATTTTTTAAACCGTTTTCTGAATTACTCATATTATCCAATTTTCAAAATCCTTTTAAGAAAGCCTGGCTTCGCGAATATATTAATTTTTTTTGTGTGTAAAATTGCCTATCGCACGGTGTTATGCGTATATATGTACATATATTTAGCTAGACATTTATAAAAAAATATTAAATAAACAAAAGAAACAGCAAAAACTGGTCAACATAAGGCGTTTCTATTATCGCCACCATTGCAAATTACAAATCCCGAAAATCGCGGAATTATTTTCCAAGAAAGAAGGACTTAAAAAGGCCGGGATCCCGGGATTAACATCCCTAATACATATACATACATACAAACACTGGTAGAAGAAATGATAGAACCTTTCTAAATATTTTGACCATTTTTGGCTATATTTCTTTGGTTTATTTGATATTAGGTTAGGTTAGGTTGGGCGGCAGTCCAGAAGTAGGACACACTTAGGCTCAGGGTCCTTTGTGATACCGCATGAGGGGTTTTTAATTATCTCCATCCCCTGTAAACCACTTGGTGCTTAGCAAGAATGTGCAAAGACTCCTGAGCTTGTTCTCTGCGTTTTGATAGAGCGGGGCAGTGACAGAGAAGATGTGGGATGGTTTCCTCTTCGTCTATATCCATGCAGCTTCTGCAGTAGTCGTTCCAGGGTGCGCCCAGTCTAGCTGCGTGTAATCCGATCAGACAATGTCCGGTGAGAACTCCAGTCACTATACAAATGTTCTGCCTACTTAGATTAAGTAGAGACTTGGTGCGCTGGGCGTTCGTGGCGGGCCAGAGCGTTTTGGCAATGTGACAGGTTGGTTCCATTCGCCATCTTTCATTGGCAACTTCTATGAATTTTTCATTCAGTAGATATTTGCATGTCCGATGTGGGATTGCGAGAGTAGTATCCCTTATGTCTGTATCCGGCAATGTCGTTCCATGACGCGCGAGTTCGTCAGCCTTGCAGTTTCCCTGAATGTCGCAATGGCCAGGTACCCAGACAACGTGTGTGCTGAATGTCTCAGCCATCTCGTTGAGAGATCGGCGGCATTGAGCAACTACTTTTGAAGTCAGCGACATATTTCCCAGAGATTTTACTGCCGCCTGGCTGTCAGTGAAGATGTAGATTTCATGACTAGAAATCGTATCACACGGGACCAGTGATGCGGCCTTTGAGATAGCTATCAGTTCCGCCTGAAAAACGCTGCAGTAATCAGGGAGGCGGAAGCTGAATGATATGCCAAACTGTTCCGAATAGACCCCACCACCTACTCTTTTTTCGAGCTTCGATCCGTCCGTGTAGACATGGATGGATCCGCTCTTCCTGACAGTGTCCATTGACCATTCCTCCCTTGAGGGAAGAAGGGTCGTGAACATGGCCTTGGAAGTGCGGGTGGGCGGAATGCAATCGGTTGTCGGAAGCTGAGTAAGGTCGTTCAGAATTATTTGATATTAATAATATTTTTTAACAAAAGTCTAGTCATTATATAGCTAGAGCCACATAGATCAACATTTAAAACTTTGTGAAAAAATTATGAAAATTTAGCAAATTTGCACCAAAAGTCCCAAAAAATTTCACTTTTGACTACTCCTTCTGGGTGTTTAAACTTTTCCTAACTTACTCTTTGGGAGGCGAACACATCGAAAGGGAACTCCTTTTTGTATGATCTTACTGATTTAATGTCTTATTAATCTATTATGTATTGCCTTATTTCTGTAGCTTTGTAATAGGTGTAACTTTTTTTTCAGAAAAATTATGACCAATAAAAATCGTTATCTGACTGGTATATCCCAGCTCGATATAGCGGCGCAACAAGTTGGCGTGATGCAAGAAGAGCTGCAGGCGTTGGAACCGAAACTAAAGCAAGCATCAGAAATTGTAAGCTATACTTAAATATTTCCATATTTTCCCCAGGGCTGACTCATTTGCATTAAATAATTTTGTTCATTTAGGTGGCTACACAAGTTGCAAAAGTAACTGCCGATAGCAAGATCGCCGAGGAACAGCGTGAATTGGTTAAGCAGGACGAACAAGTAGCCACCGAACAAGCAGCCAAGGCACAGGCGATCAAAGATGAATGCGATGCCAAACTGAGCGAAGCGCTGCCAATTCTAAATGCAGCTCTTGCTGCTCTTAACACCTTGACTACAGCCGATATTGCTGTTGTCAAGACAATGAAGAGCCCACCGATTGGCGTGCGAATCGTCATGGAAGCTGTTTGCATATTGAAGGAAGTGAAACCGGATAAGATACCAAACCCTTCAGGGGTAGGCACAATTGAAGACTACTGGGGAGCTTCAAAACGTGTGCTGAGTGATATAAAATTCCTCGATAGCTTAATTAATTTCGACAAAGACAACATACCCCCACATGTAATGCAGAAATTAGCGCAACGTGTGCTAAGCAACGAAGCTTTCGATCCCGATAAGGTGAAGTCGGCATCAACGGCGTGTGAAGGTTTGTGCCGCTGGGTCATTGCTTTGACTAAATACGATGTGGTGGCAAAAGTGGTGGCCCCTAAGAAAATAGCACTGGCGGCAGCCGAAGCAGAGTATAACGTAAGTTGCTTTACGTTAATACCTACATATGTACATATCGTCACCTGAAATGCAAAAAGACGCAACAAACATCGTAACTTAAATCCATAAAGTCGTAACTAATACAAAATTAAAAATTCACTTTTTATACCCGAGCGCACTTGTGCACAAGGGTATTATAACTTTGTTCACATAACGGTTGTTTGTAACAGGCAAAACGAATCGAGATAGATATAGACAAATGTATACATAAATGATCAGAATGAAAAGATAAATCGATTATGCGGTGACTGTCTCGCCGTCCGTCCGTCCGTCCGTCTGTCCGTCCGTCTGTGCACACGATAACTCGAGTAAAAATT